TAAAGAATGGCCTTTATGAATCTAAACCAAGAAATGCCAAATTCCAAAAAGAAGCACATCTAAAACAGAGACGCCATTAGAAAGACACTCCATAGAAGTGTCGTGTTTCTAGAAGTGATGACACTCGGCTTGTGTGCACTAAATGTCGTTACGTGGTCAGATCCTCGAACAAGTGTGTCCATATTTCACAGGTAAATGCAAATCACAAACTCCAACTTAGAAATATATAAAAATAGAATCATAAAAGGGAGTAAATGGTTTCAAGTTGTTTCTTTGGAAGGACCCCTTGTCAATGGAGAAGAAAGCCTCAAAGCTAAGACAATATTTTCTTAAGATTGAGGCTAAAACAATTTTGGAAACTTGCTTACAACTTAAGTGGGAAAATATGGGGCATTCCTGGGAGCATTGAATTTAATACTCTATTCCTTAAAACGTATGTTTTTTGAGGCGGTGAGCGAGGCCAAGGTTTCAAATCATCTCCAAAGGATAATCTTCAAATAAGATTTGAATTGGCCTATGAGAAGGAGATGATAAAATTGGGATAAGAGGATCAAGATTTTGATGAGAAGGAGATGATAAAATTGGGATCAGGGTATCAAGATTTTGATGAGAAGGAGATAAAAGGGAGCTTCAACTTGTCCATCTCTTACTTGGCAACTATCGTCGTTGAGAAGAACATAGTTGCATCAGAGAACATGAGGTTCATGAGGACCTTGAGGTTGCTATGCCAAAAGTTTCTGATTATATTGGTGGTGTTCTTCAGTCCTGGTTTTACTCCTACTTCCATCAGGTATGACAGGAGGTTGCGAGATTTTACTATCCCATTATAGCTACATAGGGATTTGTTTAGTTTTGATTCATTTTGCAAGTGGATTATTCTCGACTAAAGAGGTTTGGGAGTTTATTTGACATAAGGGTACTTCTCAGCTAGTTTTCAGAACCTTGTGATCATCAAAATGCCATCCTCATGCAAAATAGTTCTCTTGGTTGGCCCTTCACTCTTGATTAATCTTGATTAAAAACGGGAGTTAGCTGATGCTAAATCATGGGCATTCTATGTTTCAGAAAAAATACTCATTGAAAATTTACAATTCAATTAGCATCAACAGAGGGATTAGTTCGCTCTCTTGGTGACATGGTCATTTCTTAGCCCTAATCACTTTCAAGCTAAACATTGATGGGGCTTCCTTGAATAAACCAAATTGAGCAGGTGGGGGTGGTGTTATTACAGAAAGTGACAACGCCTTTGTTGCAGCGTTTTCAAAGCCTTTTGGAATCACTTTCAATAATTATGTGGAATTATTTGCTCTTGAAGAAGGTCTAACTCTAGCTGTTCTATTAAAGTATTGCCCCTTTCAAATTGAAAGCTATTCAACCTTGCTCGTTAGTCCTATTCATGAGCATTGTCAACCTGCTTGGAAGTTACATACAGTTGCAACGAATTGTAGATGACATCTTTCTAATCATAGGTGTTCCATTACCCATATTTTTCGTGAGGCCAATATGGTGGCTGATATTCTTGTAAGAGGGTCATATCTAGTTTACAAGTCAACATTTGGTGTTCTCGTCCGCCAGACTTTATTTCTCTTATTTTACTTCATGATTTGTCACAGGTACCCTGTTCCAGGGTTGTAAAAAATTGAGCTGTAACCTTTTCATTTTAAAATATTAATAAAAAATAGGTAGGGAGCTTCTCCTCCACTGACTTACCCAAAAAAAAATTACTATTTGAATTCACTAAAATTCCTAAGGACCAATCAACTTTGAATCTAAAGCCCTAACTCAATTGCTATTTATAGAGTTTATTAGAACGCTAACCTAATTCTATTATAATTAGAAGTGTAAAAAGAAGAGGTCCTAAACAGTCAAATTAAGGTACACCTTCAAATAATGTTGAAAGATATTGCTTCAATATTGAAAATCTTTATGATGGCCTGAAAATTTATTTTCATCTAACTATAAAATTTAAAGCTTCAAAAATTAGAATAGATCGAGGAAATCTATGAACACTTGAAAATCTTAAAAATTGATGGTCCGAAAATGCATTACAAAACGCACTATTTCTAAGATTTGAAACCAATTTTTCTCATGTTTATACATCTTGAGGTCGAAATGATCAATTTGAAAATTTTTGGGCATCTAAACAACCTTTTCTAGTGATTTTTTGAGATGTGCCTTAATTTGATTATTAGGGCCTCACCCTTATATAAAATTTTTCCTAATTAATATTCATAATCAAAATACAAATAGAATTTAACATTTTTTCCCTTGATATCCCAACTTTGAATAGGGGTAACTTTTTGTTCTAATGTTAAAACTAAACGAGTGTATCAGAGCCACCCTCAACGTGTACAAAATAAAAAAAAATTAATTACAAACATAATTATACCACCAAAAACACAAATTACAGAAAGGTTAATTGTTACATAAATGAAAATTAAGCACTAAATTAAAGCAAGGTTAATTGTTACATAAATCCAAATTAAGCACTTACATACACCCCATAGAACATAAACAACACCCCAAATTGGTTCTAGGCATTGTTCCACCACTTAACCACAATTCAGATCAGCTAATACAACAATCAAATTACATTACATAACAATGAAAACAACCCATACACATTAGGCCTTTAAACATATGAATTTGCAAGAACAATACAGTTAACAACTAGCCAATCTAATACAACAAAGCCTCAACAAATTAGTGCATCAAGTCTTTTAGCATGGGAGACCAAAAATATGGATCAATTTTGTCTAATTTATGGCCCAGCTCTTATGTTTACACTGTGTGTATTCTCGACATCGATAGCACAAGACCAAGGCTCAATTTGAACTCTAGATTGAAGCAATTTGAGCAACACAACCAACTCTAGGTTCCTAATTTCTCTTTGTAAAAAAATTATGATACTCAATTCAGATAAATAATGCTCAAATGTAGTGGTGTGTGGTATGAGACTTCGGCAAAAAAGGTAGGGTAATTGTCCTTATGTTTATAGAGCTCAATTTGGCATAATAAGGGCTTATTAAAATAACAATTGAAGTTTGAAAAGGGCTCAAAGTGCCTGCTACTTTAGTGTGAAAGTGCAATTTGAAAAGGGCTCAAAGTGTTTACTGGTTTAGTTTGATTAGGATTTAAGACCGATTATTGTGATTTCTTTCTTAATGTTTGCATGATCTAGATTCTTCAAACCCGGAGCATGCACTGAGACAATCTCTTCAACTCATGGTCATGGAGTAGGTGAAATGTTACACACAGATTTGAGAAAAGCAGAAATTTGCAACTAACCAATATACAAAAATCTTGCAAGCCACTAGATCCAAGTTAGGTCTCATGTACTATCTTAACAGTTATTTATCACTATTTTAGTTTCTATACCATTTTGGATATTCTTAGAAGTTCTTTCTCAATCTTTTTACAAAGGGGTGCGAACTACACGGCACTAGAATATCCCACCAAAGGGCCAAAAAAATCAAGGTCCAAAGTCGAACCTGTTTTGCTATGGGGTTATTAGTGACACTGAATGTATACCCCAATGAGGATGAAGTTGAGTGAGATCATGCTTTAGAAGTTCACATATATCCACTGCAATTTGTATCTTTGAAAGTGTTAGCCGAAAAGAGAAGTTATGGGCCATTATTTGAACTTGAATCATGGAGGAGTAGCTGGTGAAAGTTGAATCAATTCTTAATAGGAGGGCATTGGAAGAAGCACTAGGCTGCATGAGGAAGGAAGAAGAAGAAAGTCGGAATCAACGGATAGAAGTTGGAGGAGGTAAACAAGTAAATGAATACAACAATTTGAGGAGCTGGAGGAGATTTACAAGGAGATGATGATGGATGATGTCCTCAGTATCACATGAAATATGATCAAAATTTTTTCAAAAAAGTTGGCCTTCTTTTTAGGAATGGACCACCTGATTGTAAAACACTTGGCATAGATAATAGGTAAACAAGTTCTTAATTTGAGATATTTATCTATAAGAGACAGTTACTAGCCACTGACTCAAGTTTATAGGTGGGCAATGCCCGCATATAAACTTTTTCCTTACCTATGATTTTGATATTTATGCTCCTATGAGATTCATGTTATGTACTTCGTTTTATATTGAGGAATGAATGTGTGGCATTAGTAAAAAACCCTTAGTATTTACAAATTTTCAAAAATTCCATTAAAATACATAATTCCGTACTGGACTTTTTTCAAAACCAATATAATTTTAATTTTAAGGATTTTTCATAAATTTTCCTTGTCATTTTTTAAGGCAAGTTCAGTCAAAATCGGCAAGCGGACTAGGAAAATCACAAGCCAACTCATCCCCAGCCACGCTCGAGCAGGCACCCCAATTCTAGGTTTCCAACCACTGCTTTTACCAAAAATCTTGCAGTGAGGAAATGGTCTTAATATATGAACTTTTATTTGAGTTCATAATAGAGAATTATATTTTCATATTTGAATAATTTTGATTAAATGTTGGGCAAGCAAAATAGTATTCTATGGACCTTAGAATTGTGATCTTTTTCTTTTTTCCTTTGAACAACTTCCCCACCACAGCAGTATCACATGAAATATGATCTAAAATTTTTCAAAAAAATTGGCCTTGTTTTTAGGAATGGACCACCTGATTGTAAAAAACTTGGCATAGATAACAAATTATCTTTCAAATTTTTTGAACATCTAAATTAATTTTTAAACAATGAAAACATCATAATAAAAATTTAACTACTGTAAGAAAGTGTCATGATCCGTATTACTAAAAAGCATAAAATTAAGAGAATCCAAATAAATTGAGAATTTCTGAAGTCCAAATATGCGAACCCCATCCTCCCGCTTCCACCGGCCTTCAACAGCGGCATGCAAAAACACATATTAACGGCCTCCAATAAGTTCTAAATGAATGCTAGCTTGTGTGCCATTACACATGTTAAGCAATGGGGCTCAAAGTCTTGTAAAAAATTAAGGATATTTATATAACTTGTCATTTAAAGGCCAAAGGAAATACGCGCAAGTTTTCTTGTTCCATGGAAAAATTAACAGTTCCCAATGTGAACAGTGTAATCACAAGGCAATGGATAGTAATGCTACCAAAAATCCATACAAGAACAAGACCCATTCTTAAAATGATGAAAGCGGTTTTGATCCCTCACAACTATTTCATGATCATAAACCATAGACAAAAGTTTGATGAATGAATGGCAGTCACCACAAACTCTAAGATTCTTGATTACATGGATTGGCATCCCTTTCTTTGTGTTTATAAGCCCAAAAGAAATGGCCAGCTTTTCACTATGGAAACCCAGAGAGTTCTCCTTCTCCTCCACCTCAACATCAAGCAAAACCTGGGTCAAGTCTGGTCTATACCCCTCTAATCTTAGTTTCCCTATAACCTCCCCCACTTTGGAGACTATCTCTTTGTATTGAGGGTGTGAATCACCACCAGCCAAGAATTCATGAAGCACACCACCAATCACTATAGAACTACAACCAGGAGTCTTTCTCAATCCTCTCTCTCTCATTAACATCCTTGTCCTTGCAACGTCCTCCCAACGACCGGCCATTGCATATATATTGGACAGAAGGACATATATACTAGCATCATTTGGCTCAAGCTCCATTAGCTTTTCTGTCGCACTTTCACCATAATTTGCTTCACCGTGCTTTCTACAAGCACTAAGTATGACTTTCCACATCATAGAATCGGGATTCATAGGCATTCCCTCAATAACCCTAAGTGCCTCTTTCATCATCCCAGCTCGTGCCAAAAGATCAACAATGCATCCATAGTGCTGAATCTTGGGCTCTAAAGCGTATCTCTCTCTCATGATTTGGAAACACATAAGACCATCACTAACCATGCCACTATGGCTACATGCACTTAGAATAGCTATGAAAGTAATAGCATTTGGTTTTACTCCCAACCTCTCCATTTCCTTGAATAGTTCCAGTGCAATTTTCCCTAGCCCATGCATTGCAAAGCCTGAAATCATGGCATTCCAATGGCCTAGTGTTTTGGGTACAATATCTGTAAACAATTTATGAGCAGGTTCTATGTAGCCACATTTGGAATACATATCTATGAGAGCAGAACCAAGAACACCATTCACTTTAAACCCATGTTTCCCCATAAAGGAATGGACCCACTTCCCTTCTTCGATGAGCCCTAAACTGGAGATGGCCATAAGAATGCTAGCCAATGTTGCTTCATCGGGTCGTTCTCTCTCTATAAGCATGCATTGAAAGAGTTTTAATGCTTCTTTGGGCAGATCATTGTGTACATAACCTGCAATCATGATTGTCCAAGAAACAACATCTTTTTGAGGCATTCGATCAAAAAACTCTTTTGCCTCTTCAATCTTTCGGCACTTGACATACCCATCTACCATAGAATTCCATGAGATAACATCTCTTTTGGGCATTTCATTGAACAATTTTCTAGCCGTTTCAATATCACCACCTTTTGCATAACCATCTATTATTAAATTCCAAGAAACCAATGTCTTATCAGGCATCCCTTCAAACAATTTGCTTGCTTCTTTAATGTTTCCGTACTTTACATACCCATCAATCATCGCATTCCAAGTGACTGAATCTTTATCTCTGTTTGGCATTCTGTTGAACAAATTGGTTGCTATTTCCAATTCTCCAAACTTCATGTACCCATGAATCATGGTAGTCCAAGAAACTAGATCTTGTTGATCCATCCTATCAAATACTTGACCCGCAACTCTAATCTCTCCAAGGTCAACATACATTTTTAGTAAAGCATTCAATACAAACACATCGGAATTATAGTGGTTCTTTAAGACCCACCCATGGATTTGTTTGCCTTCTATTATGGCAGCCAGTTCCCCACAGGCTTTCAAAGCAAAAGGCACTGAGAATTTGTACTCAAGATTTTCAAAATGAAGCATTTGATTGAAGAGGGATATGGCTTCATGTGAATTGGAATCATTAAAGTAAGCTCTTATCATGGCATACCATATAAATGAATTCGGTTTTTCAATTTGATCGTAAATCGATCGACCATAGCAAAGATTGCCACGTCTTGGACTTAAAGAGAAAGATACAATTTTGCTCTCTGTAAATGTGTCCTTGATGAGGCCTGTTATAATAGTTTGGGCATGAATTTGATGCAATTCATTCATGGATTGACACATCTCTAGCAGAGTGAGAGTTCGTAATGGAGATGGGTTCATTGGGTTTCCATGGATTGCAAGATTCATTCTCTCTCTCTTTCTTTCAATTTCTAGAATCACCAACTTATTGATAGAATTCAAGATTGGGGTTTTCTTGTTGAAAACCTAATGGATGACCATTGGATTACTCTGATTGAAACCTATCCCAAAAAGTTTTCGAGGGATTGAATTTTTTTACTCTTGGGGTCGATGCACAATAAAATTCAAGATTGGGGTTTTCTTGTTGAAAACCTAATGGATGAGCATTGGATTACTCTGATTGAAACCTATCCCAATAAGTTTTCGAGGGATTGAATTTTTTTATTGGGGTTTTCTTGTTGAAAACCTAATGGATGAGCATTGGATTACCCTGATTGAAACCTATCCCAATAAGTTTTCGAGGGCTTGAATTTTTTTACTCTTGGGGTCGATGCACAATACGTTTTTACTCTAAAGTCTAAAGCAGTGTTTTAAAAATCGAATCGACGAGTTGAATCGGATTCGATTTGACTCAGAAACCGGCACAACTTATGCCGATGTCAATATAAAATCGGGAACCGCCGGTTTCAATCCGATTCAGCTCGGTTCTCTCCCTGAACGAGATACGCGCGTGGCACGTGTGAGGTTATCCTAATATTTCTACACAAACATTTTAACTTATATTATATAGGTTTTTATATACCAAAGTGGAATACCTACTTTTCGATGTGGGATAATTCCCAAACATCATTAAATGAAAAGAGAATTTAAATATATTCTATTAATTATCGAATTATAATTACATACGGTGAGGTGGCATGGTGGTTAAGACCTTTGTTACTTCACTTGATCTCTCAAGGTCAAGTCCCCTTATGGGCGTTATTTTTTTGTATTGTATAGTTTTTGTTGTATATATTGTATAAATATTTTTGTAAATAATATAAAAAGCATAAAAAAATGAAATATAAAAAAGTTAATTTTTTGTATAGCAGTTAATTTTTGTTGTATATAGTGGTATAATTATTTTTTTAAATAATATGAAAGGCATAAAAAGTAAAATATAAAAATTTTATTCTATTTGAAATCTCCATCTTTCTACTAACAATCTCTTTCACTAAATTATTATAGAAACCTAAAAAAATAAATTTTTGAAAAATTGAGGTGTTATTTCCAAAATTTGTACGTATTTTGTTAATTTTTACATTGATAACCAAATCTTTTATTTTATTTATTAATTTTTATATTATAAATCATGTAATGTACTATTTTTCTTACAGTTGTCAATAATACATTTTAAATTAGATAATATTATAAAATATTTTTAATTTATTATTATTTGTCTAATAAAATAATTATAAAATATAAACTAATAATTATAATTTAAGTATATAATATTATAATTAGTTAGGTTTTAATAATTTGGATTATAGTTAGTTAGGCTGTAATAATTTGGATTTTTTTAGCGGATTAGGGTTTTATGCCATAACGAGATTTTAATGGCCATTTTTTCATTGATTAGTCTACTCTTTACAATAATCCATGTATAATTATATATTTTATCTATGATAATTCTATGATTTTTCTTTTATGTGATGCAAATTTAATGGTTAACATAAGTTTATACAGGGAAAGAGCATCTCAATATTCACAAATTGAAGAAAAAAATGAAAGTTAAAAAAATGTAGTACTTTCATTTCTTATTAGATTCCTAACAAAAAATATTTATAATGAATTTTAATAATTTTTTCGGATTTTTTTGAAGCTTCAATCCGACCGATTTAGCCGATTCCCGATCCGGATCGTCGATTCAACGAACTGGATCGGTTTTTGAGATGCCCGATCCGGGTCACCGATTCGCTTTTTAAACCATTGGTCTAAACAATATTTGATTTTGTAGATTTGATTACGCCAACGTTTGCAAAGTCGAACCGGAACGGTTAAACCGGTTGTGATGCTGGCAGCGGTTCTAACCGGAATCAGACTAACTGAAGTAGTTAACCGGACTAACAAGTCAAGTAGATTTTTTTTTTAAAACTGGGTCAAAATCTCAAAAAAAAAAAAAACAAATAGAAAACTTAGATTAAGTATACACCATCATATTACAATACATTTATTTTATAAAAACATTTGATACAAATTTTTGTATAATTTAATATTTGAATATTATGAAAATATGCAAGACAATTTATAATTTCATATAAATTCAATGGGTGAAGGTACAAAGTCCAACTAACAATGGATGATGCAACAATATATGCTTCTATATTGTTTTAATGTTCATGTTGAAAAATGTTGTTTTAATGTTGAAAAACCCTTTAATACGGTTTAAGATTGGCTTTGAGAGCGTATTTATTTGTAGCATGATGTTCCCAGCTTTTCGTAGTGTTGTGAATCAAGGTAGTAAGAGAGAGCACCTCATTTAGTTAGTAACTTAGTTATCAAATGCAGAGTGTAGGTCAAGGTGTTAAGTGGTGCTTCGAATGGCCAAATCGCATATTTAAAAAAAATATGGCCAAGTTAATTTTCAAATGGCCAAATCGATTTTGAAATAACCAAATCGATTTTGAAATGGCCAAACCTCACTTAGTAATCTTTTGAGTTGGGTTTTAATATGATTTTTTTTTTTTTTATATAACATGGCAACTTTAAAATGTAGAATTAAGCTGCATATTAAAAAAAAAAAAAGGCCATTTCAGCATGTGGAAACACGAGAGATGAGTAAAACACTTTTTAGTTTCTACCTCTTTTCTTCATAGAGGCTAATAAACAGATTTAAGTAGTATGAAGTTGCCACAAATGATAGATAGCTTGTAACAAATAAAAAAACAAATTAGAAGAAAATATCACAACTAAACAATAAGTTGAGACCACAGACATTAGTAACATACACCAAAAATAAACTTAAAAAGAAATAATTTTTTTCTCATATTCATCACAAAATAATATTTTTATAAATATATATAAAACATTAAAAACAATCTAACAAGCTCACCAAAAATGTATAACATTAAAAAGAAACAATTTTTTCCCTCATATTCATCACAAATAAACATATTTTTTGTAAAAAAAATATATAACATTAAAAACAATCCAACAAGCTCACAAAAAATATATAATTTTTTTAAAAAAGAATATATTCTTTTTTTCTCATATTCATCACAAATTTCATATTTTTATAAAAAAAAAAAGTAATTTTATTAAAAAAAAATTGTTTTAAGAACTCTAAAATCGAGCCAAAGAATACAAAAACTTTAGAGTCGAAATCAACCCCAAATCTTTTATTTTTTGAACAAATTGATATAGGAATATGATAGATATTTCAATTAAGATTCAAATGCTCCAAATTTCATGAAAACTTATTTACTATTGAGATCTTTATTCAAAAAATTGCGAATATTTTACTTCATGAAAATTTCAGGAAAAAACGCAGCAAAGAAAATCTATATAAAAAAAATTTAATCGCTAGTAAATCAAAATAACTAGTTTATTTTATAGATAAGAACTTTATGATCAAACTTCAGTAATTAATTCCATAAAAATCGATCAATTGATCGATCAGAAATCAATTTGTTTGGATAAAAATAGTTCTTCGAGCAGTAGTACTTCGGGCCCATAAAACCCTCAAATCTTCATCGTTTTGGAAAAATTGAAATATGTAAGTATGGAATCCTTCAACAATCAATCAAAGCCCTCCATTTTTATAAAAATCTATGAGGTATTAAAGTTGCATTTGATAGAATGGCGGAGATTTTTAATTTTCAAAAATCCCCAATTCAATCCGCCGCGAACTCTTTGTTTTTCGACTTTTGATTCAATAATGGATAATCTATAGAAACTTTACGGTATATAACATCAATATTTGACTAAAATAACAAAAAAAACTACAAAATGTAAGAAAAAAAAGCTGCAAAATCTTGATCTATGAAAATAACGGGCATATGTCAAATAATGGCCGTTATTTGATGCGCTATAACGGAGTTATAACACACAAAAACTACAGTAAACCAGACCGGTTTTGAAGAAAAACTGCTTGTTTGACATTGAACCAGCCGGTTTTGATCCCAATTTTTGTTGGAGAGTTCCGTCTTACCATGCGTAACGTAAAACCGGCCCTAACCGGAATCGCCACTTCACCGGTAGTGATCTAATCGGCCGGTTTTGCGAACATTGGATTATGTTTCTTATTTTTCTTTTAATTTATTTGGTTTTATGAAGACATCTAGCATTTCATTAATTTGGGTATGATGTCAGATCCATAGCTATATCATGAATTTTTATATGATTTCAAATTTTCTTTTAGGGCCACTTTGGGTACATGGATTTTAAAGCATGGGTTTCTAATATCCTGGATTTTGTCAAAATCCACCGTTTGGATTGCTTAATGACTAAGATATTTAAAATTAGACAAATCAGAATCATGAAAATAAGACTTACTTTTCCATGATTTCATTTCCATACCAAAATCCGTTTTTTTGTATTTCCAATTCCCTTGGATTTCACTCGTTGACTCCCTCGACCCGAAACATAGGGAGAATTTGATAGGTATGAAAATTTAGAGAGAAAAAGTACCTAAATTTTTTAAAGAGATAAACTATCTCAAAATTTTTAGAGAGAGAAACTGTCGCAAAATATTAGAGCGAGAAAGTATGTTAAAATTTTAGACAGAGAAAGTATGTTAAAATTTTAGAGAGAGAAACTATCTCAAATTTTAACTTTTAGAGAGAGAAAATATGTTAAAATTTTAAAGAGAGAAAGTACTAATTTTTTTAGAGAGATGAACTATCTCAAAATTTTAGAAAGAGAAACTATCTCAAATTGTATCTTTGAGAGAGAAAGTATGTTAAAAATTTAGAGAGAAAAAGTATGTTAAAATTTTAAAGAGACAAAATACCAAATTTTTTTAGAGGGATAAACTATCGCAAAATTTTAAAGAGAGAAACTATCTTAAATTTTAAGTTTTAGAGAGAAAGTATCATATTTTAGAGAGAGAAAGTACATGCAAATTTTTAGAGAAAGAGAAAATATCTCAATTTTTTAGAGAGAGAAACTATTTCAAAACTTTTAGAGAGAGAAATAATCTCCTATTTTAATTTTTGGATAGAGAAACTATATCAAGTCTTAAGTTTTAGAGGGAGGAAGTTTCTTAAAATTATAGTGAGATAAAGTATTCTTAAACTTTTAGAGATAAATTATTATAAATTCTAGAGAGTGAAATTGGCAAAAAAATATTTAGATAGAGAGATATCTCGTTTTTTAGAGAGAGAAACTATCTTGAATTTTGAGTTTTAGAGAGAATATATTCGAATTTGAAATTTAGAGAGAGAAAATATATTAAAATTTTAAAGATTAA